GTGTGCTGACTTACCTTCTTTCCCTGGAGGACTGTGTTGACCTGTGCATTTTTGGAGTGAGACAGTAGACCTGGAAGCTGACAGTTGAATTGCAACCTTCTTGGCAGCAGTGTGAGATGGGGAAAGATGCTGATTCCTAGGTTAGGATATGGCTGTAGCTGTAACAGCTCATTTCTAGCTCCCCAAAGATCCTCTCAATCTTTCAGGTAAGCCAGGATTTGGGATTTCTATGCAAAGACAGCAAACCATTAAGAGAAAACCACTACACTTCCATGGTTCCCACAGGAATAGGAAAAGGCTTAGCATTTCAGCTTTTAAAAAACTTACTCCAAGCTGGACCTCAAAGATTCAAGAGTCCCAGGGATATTTACTACTCCGTGGGTGTCGCAAGCCCTTTGAGGAGGATGAAGTTCTGGAGTGGAGGATCTCTGATGGTGGGAGAACTGAGATCCTCCTCACCAAGCTAATGAGATAGAGAGCCTAGACTGCTCTGCTCTTCCCGGGAGCGCACCACTGTTCTTCGCCTCTGAAGAGTGACCTCTATAAACCAGGAAAAGCCATGCTGTCAAGAAGCCAAGGGATGGGACAGTCCTAAGGATTTGGCTCCTCTTCATGTGACTGGGAAATAATGTTATGTGACAAACTGAGAGAAGGTGTCATTGCCTAAGGCGACCTCAGCTACACTTGCCAAGCACCAGGCACATTGCAACAGCGACTCTTGCTTGCTTCTCTCGAGGGGTGGGTTTTCTTAGCCCTTAGCAGCAGTTCTGCAGTGCCCTGGCGAGGCGACCCTCTCCGACTCTTCTGCCTGATTTCTTCTTGCTGTCAGATGAGACTGATCTTTTGCTGTGTACTGGGCATCCCCCAGTGGGTCCCAGGTGTTTTTTTAAAAAAGGTTTAGACAAGCCAATCCCTTTGGTTCTGCTCCGGGCACGAATTATTTGGCATTACTGAGCAGGGAGTCCCTTTTTATTTATTAGTATTTATTTGGTTTGATTTCTGAATGCAAAATGTATTTATTCTGGATCTGGTGGCGATACATTCACCAAAGTAACATGGGACAAGACAATGCAAGAGACGACAACAGAGCAAGGAAAATATAAATATCAGCCAAGTAATTACGGTCCGCTTCATGATTAAAAAAAAATAACCTTTCAATTAAGCCCTGACTAGAGTCTTCCCAATGACTTGAATGGGGTTTGGAAATATGTGGACTATCAAAGGATCAAAACCATACCGAGTGAAATCATGCCTCATCTGATATCAGTGCAAAAATCCTCTGGATTTCAGTGGAGCCAGGAGTTTACCCATTCACTTACCAGTGTGCCCCACTTACCAAGCCTGTATTGGTATTTCCAAGCACCCTCGTGCCTGCTAGCTATAGACATGTATGCACTCTCATTTTAGGTACTGATGCCAGCGGTATGTGGTACAGAAGGGCAGAGACAGCACTTCAAGAATGTCCTCAAGGCCAGCTTGAAAAAATGCAGAGTGCGAATTAAGGGGAAGCTCAGGGGGGACACATAAGAGATGAGAGCCCCCCTGTAAGATTTGACAATCATAACCTAGATGCGTCTCTGATTGGATTGCTCCTTTGCTTAGGTGGACTTGATAATCAATGAACCGGTTTAATTTTTTTGCAGACCGCTGCATGAGTCAAAGTGTAATTCATACCCCGGTAACGTGGACATCAACTGACTCATGGGAGATGACTATTGCCCAGGACTGCTCCAAATGGAGGAAGAGTGTGCTGCAAGGATCTCAGTACTTTGAAACCTTACCATGACAGCAGGAGACAGACAAATGCAAGAACCAGTGTGTCATAGACTGAATCAAGAATCCAGAGCCACCCACCGTGCATGGAAACTGGTGACTTAATCACAACAGAGTCTGTTGCTCCTGGATTGGCCTCATCAGCCATCTTTGGACCCACAGATAAAGCAGTCATGGAAGACAATCATCCTCGACTGCGAGGGATTGCTGATATATGGGACAATGGCTGATGATATCAATAGAGAATTATAGGCCCTGCTGTAGAGTGGGGCTGAGGAGTGTCAGAGAGGGGGAGCTGGAAGGACGGAGGTTTCATAGATTTAGGGTTGAAAGGGACCTAGTAGATCTTCTAGCCTGACCCCCCACCAGGGCGGGAGAACAACAAAAACCCCAAAAACAAGAAACGGGACTCAAATGAGTCCAGCCAGGTAGGCATCCAGCCTCTTCTTAAAGACCCCCAGGGTAGGGGCCAGCACCACTTCCCTTGGAAGTTGGTTCCAGCTCCTAGCCGCCCTAACTGTGAAGTAGTTTTTGCGGATGTCCAATCTATACCTCCTCTCCATCAACTTGTGCCCATTACTCCTTGTTATGCCAGCGGGCGCTAGGGGAAACAGCGTCTCCCCCAAACCCTTCTGGTCCCCCCTAGTGAGTCTATAGATGGTCACCAGGTCCCCCCTCAGCCTTCTCTTGTGGAGGCTGAATAGGTTCAGGTCCCGCAGTCTCTCACTGTAGGGTCTGCCCTGTTGTCCCCAGATCATGCGGGTGGCCCTCCTCTGGACCCTCTCCATGTTGTCCACATCTCTCTTGAAATGGGGCGCACAGAACTGGACACAATACTCCAGCTGTGGCCTGACCAGCGTCGTGTAGGCTGAGGACCAGAGGAGAGGTTGCTGGATGGAAGAGAGGGCTAGAAATGTTCAGTGTGATTCTTCTCCTTGCTGAGTCCAATGGACAGTGTTGGAGATGGTGTGCACTGCCCATCTTTGCACCCTCCAGCCCCCTCTGGGTTGAGAGCACAGTAGAGTCTGGATGGTTCTTGGTGTGAAGTCCTGTAGCTCGCACGAAGATGAGGGTTTGCCAACCAGCTGGGTGTCATATACAGCCACAAGAAACACCCATGTGGGGCTGCTAATGTACTTTGACCATTTGCTATAGACCTGTAGAAAAGAAAGGGCAGTGCTGCTGGGTGACTCGGCTGCCCCTCTCCCTCAGAAGCTGCTGGCATTGCTGGTAGTGTCCATGCCCAAGACTTTAGCCCGGAGCTATTCCAAGACTCAGGAAGCATTTCCCAGGGTCTTGTGTGATCTCTTGTATTTGCAGCTGGTGGGCTCTATGGGAGCTGCTCTGGCTGCAGCAGTGCCATGACACCACAGTCTGTCTCTTCCTCAGGTTTCTGCAGACATGTGGAAACTTTGGCAATCACGGCAGCCAGTGGTGAGCCCTACGAACCCTGTGCCCCATCCATCACTCAGTACCACTGGTGGGAAGAGCAGGTGGCACCTGTCAGCACAGCAACAGCAGCCATGCTAGAGACTGCGGGAGCGGCTTGAGTCATCTGCTTTAAGCCTGTATGATGAACGTACCAAAATGTGGACTTGGATGGATCCAAGTACAGACTGGCGATATTGCCGAGATTGTGGAAATATTTTGATGTCAAGCAAACAGCTGGGATTCAGAAAATAGGGCCAGCAGTTCAGTTGTGTGCAATGTATCCTGGCACCTTGCAGTCATTGACACATTTTTCCTTACAACTCACAACAGCCCTGTGACGTAGGCCACTGCCAGGATCCTCACCTTACAAAGGCTGAAACATGGCACAGAGACTAAGTGAACTGCCTAGATTATACAGAAAGTCTGTGACAGCAGGGGATAGAAACTGTCACCTGAGCTCGGCAGCTTGAACACTAGGTTGTCCTCTCTCCCTGCACTGAGTTAGATCCAACATGTGTGTGATCTGGGCTTTATGCAGCTCTGCCTGTCTTGACCTCTCCACACCTGCAGCAAAGGGTCAGGGGCAGGACATTGCTGGAGGCAAACTCTTTCCCTGAAAAGCTCTCTCCACTCTTTTGCAGTTTTGACCATTGCCTATTTGCAAGTGCCCTGGCTGTGGAAGGACTTGGAGCTAAAGTTATTCAGGGGGGAACAGATCACTTAGTTGCACAGCAATGGCTGTTCCCTATGGAAAACTCCTGGAGTGCAGTCCAGCCAGGAATAACACTGAGGCATGGAAAGTGCTGACTTCCTTTCTCTTCTAGACTCTGAAAAATTGAAGGCAAGGCTACGCTGTCATCCACACCCCCAGCTGCTCTGTGTTGGCGAGGCTCCCTCAGTGTTCAAGTTCACCTTATTCTCTCTCAGGGTCAGGTAGGTACAACCTAAGCTGTATATTGCAAAAGCCCTGATGAGTAGGATAGTCCCTTTGCACCAGGTGTTGCACAAACATTTTGTTTCCCGTGTGTGATTATTTGTGTGTTCAGGTGAAATGCAGAAAAGGCTGAGTTCTTTGGTCTCTGAGATGACTGACACATTTCATTATCAGTGTCAGCGTGAGAATCTCCACTCCAGCACTGCCCCTGTGTGTGGGAGCCTCTACGGCCATGCCCCCAGACCCTGGCAGTGTGTCTGTCTGCATGCGGGAATGCCCTCCTGGCAGACTCCTGACCAGATTCTTACTGGGGAGAGAAGATACAGTGGCGGTGTGAGCATTTACATAGGTGAGGGGTCTCTATGCAGAGATGGAGGTATTTCAGTGGTGAGTGGAGTGAACCCTATATACAGATCTGAATGTTGTGGCTCTGGCTCCTATGCAGAGCAAAAGGGCTTCCCTGTATGATGGGAGTTTTAATTTCTGTATCCAACCCTCCACGTTCTTCCTCTTGATCTCCCTCTTCTCTGTCCTTTGGCCTGGATGTCAGAGAAATGGAGGGCCTAAGCCACAGAGAGAGTCGGCATGCGACCAGCAGCGCATCCACTCCCAACTTTCTACTTCATTTGGTTACTCCTACTAAAGACAGCGAGGAGACTGTTGTATTTTTCAGTCTTCCAGGAAACACTGAAGGGTTTTCAGCTGCAATCTCTTTATTTTTATCCCAACAGGAAGCCAAGACAAGTAGGAAAGGAAGGAAAAGCTGAGAAACAAAAGCTGGTGCCCCTCCAGGGATGGTGAGTTATGCATATTGGAGATATCAGACTACAAGAGGGACTCCATTTTCCCTTATGGTTATTTAGACATGATTCCCAGGGAAGGCTCCTGGTCTGGGCTGAAAGGATGGCTCCGAAGAGAATCCTTTGCAGGGTCCAGACTCAGGTCTTCCTTGTTTAAATTTCTCCCTTAGAAATGAACAAAACCAATCACCAGCTACAAAGCAGCCTGTCTCTTACTCCTCCTCAGCAGGTGAGTTTCTTTCTTCCGCACTTCTTACTTGGATAGAAGAGGTAGGACTTCTTGTAAGTTCTCAGAGTGCTCTTGAAGCATAAGGCAGCTGCCCGGTCACATTTGCAAACTTCTCTTTTGCAGGAGTTGGGGGCACTGACTAGAAGAAACAGACACATAACGATCTTTAGCAGCTCTGCTCACATGGCCATCATCACCTCTGTCACTGTGCAGTTCTGTGACCAGAGTCAGGCTTCCAGCATACACAGACTAGCAAATGTTCCCACAGAGGATTCAGATCTGTGGATCAGCCACCACAAATGTACCTTGTGGTACAGATCTGTAGGGGCACAGGCAACCCAGTTAGGTGGAGATCCCTGCTAATCCCAGTCCTAGCAGTTTAGGGATCAGGAACCACTCCTCTCTGACACAGGTGGAGCAAATTACTTGGAGCAGTGAACTGATTCTTCTCATTGGGTGTGTCTACACGTGCAAGTAGTATGAATGAATATATACTCCAGATCAATCTGAGTAAACTAATCCCGATGTCACTGTCTACATGTGTGTTTAAGCACAGTAATTTACTGTGCTGCTGGATACCACTTGTATCTGATGGGACTATCCAGCAGCACAATAAATTAGTTTACTGTGCCCTAATTGCTATGCACATGTAGACGGTGATGATTTAATATTCAGCAAATAAGTTTGCTGTGCAATAAAACATTGAGATGTAAATGTATGGAGCAAAGCTGACTCCTAGTGGAGCGTTAGCTTGACACTGCAATAGTTGTGGATGGCAGGCAGACATCTAGATCTAATCTAATCCAAGGATCTGTCTATCATGGAGTTGGCAGCATGTAGAGTGTCACTTTATTAAGCAGCATCTGTCTTGTTCCTTTTGCAATACAAGCCCCCCTACAGTCCACTTGCTGCTTTTGCTAGTCAGCTGCACAGCCCATGTAACTGAACTCCAGATACATCACAACATCCTGCCCCCCATGATAATGTAGCTCTGGACTCTCACTTGCTCTTAACTGTCAAGCAAGAGTAGCAAGAAAAAGAGATACAAGAGGCCAAAACTGAGTCTCAGATTTCCTGGAAACCACATTCGTCATTTCTACAAAACAGTATATGTACTTGTGTGTATAACTATGTGTACCTATCAGTCAGTTTAGCTCTTTATATTATATATCTGTCACCATGTATATATATCAGTGGGACAGACAGATGGAGAGATAGAAAATAGTTGGTTCTTGAATTTGGAATAGCACCTATACCCAATTATCAATGAGTCTGGGGGAAAAGAGTGACCCTCTGTCAATACTAAAGGAAGGCCAGGATGGTTTGGGCAACAGCATCCTTACGTAGCCAGCTGGCTTTCCTTTTCCATGTAGGTCAAGCACCGGTGTTGAATTAGTGCCTGCCACACACGCAGCTTGCATCGAGCTCTGAGCTGGCCAGAAACGATCAGCCATTAATTGCCAAGATCCTATAAGTTTGATTGTCTATTAAAAAGCAGGTGGGCAATGCTGGAGCCGACATTGACTGCATACTGTAAGTAGTTGGACTACATTTAGTCTAGCCCTTGGAATAATTTCCCCACTTTTGGACCTTCCTGGCTTTGATCCAGTCAAAGAAACTGCAGTACAATTGGTCTATGGAAGAGAAAAATACTCACGGCAGGTGATGCTTCCTTTGCTGATTTTCTGCTTATACAAAGTCATTACAGGGCTTTTACACCCCCTTTGCTTAGCCCTCCTGTAGCAGCAGTCATGGGCATAGCAGCACCTTGAGGGAGAACCCACATTGCAGTCAGGCCCTGGTTACAAGGGCTGAGAATCCCCCCTGGATTATACACAGAAGAGAATGTCTATATTGGACTTTCCTTACTTGTGCAAACTTCCATTCATCTGGCCCCTGCTCCCCCTGACTGGGCTAAAAACTTATTTTAAGGAACTGTGCTTTGCCTGTTAAGGCAACATTAACTCCAAAGACAACCATAATCCACATGCCTTCCTACCCAGACACATGCATACCCAAATATGCTGAGCAAACCTTTATTCAGTGCCGTCTTATAAGTATCTAACGATGGCCATATAAAGGGCTTTACACAAATACACACCTTAACTCCCATCATCACCAATCCTTTTCTGGTGGACTTTCCCAGGCTGCCAGCAAAGCATCCATTTTTCTAAAGACAGTTATGTTTGTGTGCCTGAATAGGACTGTGAATTACCAGGACTCGCAGACTGCAGCCCGCACTAGATAATAATGGACAATTACAAAATAATCTGCATACCTTCCTGATGCTAGGTATGTGATAGTCATCTCATGTCCCTAAGCATGTTGTCTGCAGCCACTTAAAATGATGGTGCTCCTGGTACTACTCACCTATCAGTAGCATCCACTGGAGTTCCCTTTCCACCTAGTCCACAGAAACATCCATACTTATTATAGGAAAATAAAGCATTTTTCCCAGTTGTGGCTTTGATCATGATCCCAAACTGGATGGCATTCCCATATGCCAGAACCACATCTTCAAAAGAACAAAGGGGAATAGTAAATTCAGCAGCAAGGGGAAACAATCCCTGGAAAGGATTGAGGCTGATGTTCAAAATGGAATTATTACAGAGAAATTATCAAGTTTAAAAAAACGCCCCCAAGCAGCAGCATAAGGCGTGTTTAATTACCAACAAACACAAGCTTCATCCATCTGTTTTCTCTTCACTTTTCTCCCAGGACATGAGTTCAAGACTCTCCTAGTAGCTGTTGTTGATAGCATATAAAATAAATAGCTTGGTGCTCTGTTTTAAGTGCATGTGATAGGGCTGGAATGGTGTTGTAGCTGCAATGGTCCAGGAAATGTGATGTTATTGATGGTTGCAGGGGAAACACAAAACCCTGAACTCAAGAACTGGCTGTGAAAGGGAATTTACTACTATCCGTGGATATTTATTTTAATAACTCTACAAGCCATTAGGTTCTTCGTGACAATTTTGAGCAAAAGCTTTGCCCCTATCTGGGAATTTTCCAGAGGCATGAGTATAGACTGGAGAGCCATGAAGGTTGACACTAGCTCTGCCGTATGGGCCTCAGACCAGTATTGAGTACCCAGCTCCCATTGAATTTAATTGCAGTTATGGGTGCTCAGCATTTGTTCTGCCTTAGTTTTAACATCTGTAAAATGGGAACAATCATGCCGATATACCTCCTAACATGTAGAAAATATGATAAATTTGAGCTCTAACACAAATAATTATTATTTTGTCTTAAAAAAGATATCATGGGTTGAATAAAGTGAATCCCTGGGCTACAAGTATTTGGGAGCTTAATGGCCTCATTCTACATTCCCATAGGAAAGAGTTTTCTGTACTTACAGCAGATGAGGAACACAGCAATTAGCAAGAGACTTTTCATTGCCATGTCAGTCCTGAGGATAGATCGCACACAGACCTAGACCGTCTCCTCAAAGTTGTACCTGAACTGAATCCTTAACTTGGACATTAAATATGATTTGGGGGAAGTTTGTTATCACGCTGAAAACTCATAAAAAGTGCTTTCAACCAAGCAAGCAAATAGAGGTGATCAACAGAAACATCTGAGCATCGGGGAAGGGAAAGAAAACATTTATTTAGAGTTGCTTGAAGGATATCGCTGACTTTGAACATGTCTAGGCTTCTGCAATGTTTTGATCTGACACATATGTTCAGTGTAATTCATTTGCTGATGAGCAATATTTCATCATATATTTTTAATGCGTAGGGATCCCTTGATCTTCTATGGGCTGGGCCAAGAGCCCTGCTATTGATTATGTACGGTCTCTGTCTTGTTTCTTTTATAACCAGCCCGGTTTTAATTGTGATCTATATTTATTCGTGGGGAAAGCATTTGGTTAACAGGAGAGGTATACAAAGGAGAAAGAAGTTCAAAGATATCAAAATGTCAATAGTGTCAGAACAGATGGGTTTTGGACAGCAAAGGTATAAAACCTAATGAGTCAGGTGTGCTTTGTAGTTAAGCAGTGTAAAAAGATACAACCTTAAGCATATACAAGGAACTATTTTAGTCCCCCTGACAGACCAAACAGAATGCAAACCAGAAGAAAGCTACATGATTAGACAATTTGCTGGCATTTATCAGAAATGAATCATTTTAAAGAGACACAGGCAAGTAACTTTAAGTCTCCAAATTCAGGGTCTCTTAAGGAGGTTTGCCCAAGCTAATACACTTGATTTTTTTCACGATGCTGATATTAATCAGGAGTAACTCCAATGAAGACAGCAGAGTTACACCAACTTAAAACTGGCATAAGTGAAAGGAGAATTAGACCTTAATCTTATGCTGACACCCTGATCCAGATCAACTAGTATCTTACTTCCACTGAATTGTATGGGTAGCCTCGCTTAGGGTCAAGAAGGGCCACAGCACTAGGTCCTTTATATTCATTCAGGGCTACATCTGCAGATGTGCTAGAGCATCACAACACTGGGTTCTGCAGCTTCTAGTAGCCTTACTGCTTAGTGGAATTTAAGGCCTTGAGTTGGGCATCTAGGTCGGCTGGGGCCAATTCCTGTCACCTAAGAAAGGGACTCAGGGTGCTAAGCTAGTCAAATGGAAATACCCTGTCCCCTCTGGGATTTAGGGGCCCGTCTCCCCTCAGTCAGACATGCATCCTCGAGTGCGGTGTCTTCCTTCCCTTTGCCACAAGACACACCTAAAGGAGGCTGCATCCACGCTCAGCATTTGATCCAGTAGCTCAGTGGTTAGCATGCAACAAGGCTGTGGGGAACTTGTACTAGTTCCCTTCTCAGATGGCCAGGATTTGAACCTGCATCTCCCATATGAATGCTCCAGCCAGGTTTCCACTTTGCACAGGATAATATTCATGAGCCAGAGAAAAAAAAACTCTACAGTCAAGTGGCTTGGCCAGTCATCTGGAGGGTGGGGATATCTGTGCTCCAGTCCCTACTCCAATGACAGCTAATGCATTTTCTATTAAGTATGCACTGAAACAAGGGCTTGAAGGCAGGTCTCTGTGCTCTCAGGTGCCCTCACAACTAGGTTATGAGGCCACGCTCACTCTCTGTCTCAATGAATATTTAATTGGGCCATGTGAAGTGGAACAGCTTTACCGGCATCTAAAAGAGCACTTCAAGAATCCCCTGCAGCCGGCAGGTAGGAGAGGCAGCTTGACATCCTCCCAGGCAGATGAGGAAATTCTCCACGGCTTTCCCACAGCCTGGGCCGCCACTTCTAGCTGTTGGACACCAGCAACATCACTACTGCTGTGTCCAGGGCCTGGCCTAGTAGGACACAGATCCAAGTGCCCATTTTTTTTACAGCGAGGGCTGTTGCCAGGAGACAATTCTGGGGCTGCTGGACCTCAAGCGGAAAACTGGGCTGTCACTGGCGATTCCATTTCTTCATCCAAACAGCCCGCACATCACACTACAATGCCACGGTCCGTCACCGCTCAGAGACCTACATGTCGTTGAGGACATAGATTGAGATCATAGAAAATTCAGGTGGGGAGCGACCTCGGGAGGTCACATCTAGTCCAACCCCTGCTCAAAGCAGGACCCTCCCCAACTAGATCATCCCAGCCAAGGCTTTGTCTACCCAGGTCTTGAAAACCCCCATGATTGGAGACTCCCTGCGTAGCCTGACTTGTGCCTATGTGGTAGTGGCAGGGGAGCCTGAAGGAACCAAGGTCACCAGAGCACCCCATGACCTTTGCTGCACCTACTTGACCTTTGCTGTGCCTACATGAGGACTGCCAGGAAAACGTCAAGCTTGCCTTCATTAGGGCACCACGGAAAACACAACGGCCAATTTGGCGGGGGGACAACTGAGAGGACAGGGCAGGAGGGCCGCTCGAGGGTATCCAGCGGGTGCTGCCCAGCGAGCCTGCCCAGAGACACGAGCGGAGCCCAGTCACTGGGCCCAGACACAGCTTCCTTCCTGCTCAGAGAGGGCAAGTGTGTCAGCCATAGTGGTTGTGCATGAATGCCCTGGAGGACTGGGGCAGACAGCAGGGGCAACACTCTAGCCAGCCACCCCAGACTCTATAGTGCTGGGAGCGACCCCCCCCCACTGCATAGTGCTGAGGGTGGCACTCTAGCCAACCACTCCCTGCTCTATAGTGCTGGGGGCGACGCTCTAGCCCGCCCCACCCAGCTCCGCTGCAGCGCCGAGGGCAGGGTCGGAGCGGCGCAGGCTCCTTCCTTCCGGTCAGTGGTGGAAGTGTCTGGCGGGCGGGGCTGGTTGCCGTGGCAACGCAGGGCTGTTTACGAGCGGGCCGGGGCTGGCGCGCAGGTGAGTGTCGGGACCCTCGGGGCTGCCCTCGCCTCAGCCCCCCCGCAAAGGCCTCGCTGCGCCCAGCGGGACCCCCCATCCTGCCCCTGGGCCGGGGTCCGCGGGGGAAGGCCGCTGGGGACGTGGAGCAGCAGACAGAGGGGTCTGGGGGCCGTGCCTCGGCCTGCAGGGATGAACCCCCGCAGTCCCGACCGCGGTGGCCCAAGCAACCAATGGCGCCTTTGCCCCCTGCCGTGATGGCCCACGGGTGGGTCCCGAGTGACCGGTGCTGAACCGCCGCTCCGTTTCCAGAGGGGCAACGGTGAAGGAGCGAGACGTTTGCTAAGCAGGAGGCCCATGGGTGTCTGTTTTTTTTCCAGCCCCGGTTCGGTCGATGAAGGTGGAGGGCTGTCCTGCTCGCTGGCACGGACGGGCTGCACGCTTGCGTGGAGGTGCCGGAGCATGAAGGTGGGTGACGCGGCAGAGGCGGGGGACACGTCCACGATACGCCGGCGCTTGGTTTTGGGGCAGCCAGGGGGGTTCCCATTTGGGCTCCACGGAAAGCTGGTTGTTTCTTCCTCCACCGAACCACGTTATCCTTGCTTGGAGCTGCCGGGTAATCCCCCCACGTACAGCCGATTCATCTTTGATGAGCGTTGTTGGCTTTGGGGCTGTTTTGCGTTGGTGGGGCAAATTTAATCTCCGTGCGACAAAGGCTCGGACTGGTTGACGATCGTCTTGCTCCATCTTCAGCGAAAGGCTCCTGTGGCCACGCGTAGAAAGCCAATGAGCTTTTGATTTCTCGAGTCGTCGCCCGCAATAGGTGTATCGAGACGTCTGCAGTGGCTCAAAGGATTTAAAAGAAGAGACTTCTAAAAGTGCAGCTGATCTCACCTAAAAGTCCCAAACTGGGAACTTAGGTTGCAGGGCAGAAACAGCAGTGAATCGCTGCTACCTTTGATTAGATTCTAACGCTGGAATCAAGTGCGTTGTTTATAATTTCTTCTCAACCCTTTTTCAAATGGACAAGAATGGTTTTCTAACTGATTTTAGATCAGTTTTAAAGGAGCTTTAAAAACCTGTGAAACTTCAGGAGACAAGTGTGAAACTGATTTGAAAGTCCCTCCACAGAAGTGTTTGCAATTTAGTCTTAGGAGATTTCTCATGAATATCCTCCTTCTTATGCACGGGGCATGCAACCTGTCTTCCTCCAAATACCTCCTTTCCCCTTGCTTTCTGCTGCTGAAATCTGCCCTTGTGCCATTTCTTTTTTGCTTTTCTTGCCCAGTTCTAGGATTTATGAGCTATATAATAGAGGGTTCATTATTTTTATTTGCTTAATATTCATTTCTCCTGTACTCCTCTCCTTTTGTTTTCTTCTTTCTGTGATTTAGGGCTTGATCCTGGAAACACTTCCTTAAGGCAGCAGCGGGCATATGTATGCTCTGGTGACTGTGTATTATGTACCTCTTTAGTTGAAGTTAGGTCTCAAGTTTTCTGGTTCAGGCCCTGTGTTGGCCCTGTGGTGGTTGCCTTACCCGCTGCTCTACAAAGTCGCCCATGAAGTCACTGTCTTGATGCTACTGGGAGCCACTAAAGATAGAAGGCAAGATGTGCCCCTTAGCATATGTTTGAAGAACTGGGACTTTGGGTTGTGTCATAAGTTCTTTAGAGCTGATGTCATACCATGGAAAGCTGTTGTTATGAACATGCAGATTAGTACATGCACTTTTCTGTTCTTCCTTGCAATCCCCTTAATAAGAAGTGAAATTAATTAGGAATTTAAATTTTTAAAATATTACTAAATACAAGCTATAAAGTCAGTGAAGCTTTGCCACTGACTTAGATGAGGTAGGGGGAATTTCCTCCTTAAAGAGGATAGATTGTAGGTTAAGGCACTGGGCTCAGCCTCTTGAGATGTGGGTTCAGTTCTTGGCTCTTGCACGGATTTGGGCAGTGTTGAGAAACCCCTCTAGTTTCTTTGCAGCTCGACTTCCCCTCTGTAAAGCAGGGGTAACAGTACTTGTTCTGATCTTCTTACCCCTGTCTATTGAGATAAGTAGCTGTCTGGTACAGTTACTGTCTCTTCACGTGTGTTTGCATGGTGCCTAGTGCAATGGGTTTTGAGCTCAGTTGGGGTTGTCAGATGCTCTAGTAAGACAGATAGATAAATAACACGTCCCATCAATGAACATAAATAATGACTTCCCTCATTTTAAATCCTTGAACAATAAGCACACATGGCCTTTATGGAACATCTTATGCATTTTCTGTGCCCAGTAAGCACTGGCATAAAGTGTGTGGCATATAGATAGATTTATAACTTTTCTTCCAAATGGTTTTACGAGTTGAGATCCCCAAAAGCTGTAGTTTGCATCTTAGTTGACTTATGCAGTCAACCTTTTTATCCAGGTGAATGCTACTTGTAGGCCTCTCTTGTGTGATATGAAAAAACAAGGTTCTGTTTGCTTTGCATGACTACTTTATGGCATTTTTTTACTGCCCTGATGTCTTTAATCATCACTTTCCTCCCCTGCTGTGGCACACACTGCTGTTGTGCCCTTCAGCACAGATATACCTGCATCATGTTTTAAGTGTGTAGCTTGTAAAGCCCTTTGGGATCCCTCTGGAGGTGCGGCACTTCTGTTTGCATCTATAACACAATAGGTGTTTGCTGTATTTACAGACCTAAAAAGGATGGTTCACACACAATAGAATCTTGACTTGGTATGAAGCCGGCATCTGGGACTATGTTTCATTGTCTCTATACCTGACTTTACAGAACAGTATCGTTGCTATGTCCTTATGCAGAGAATCAGCACATGCCAAAATGCATTACTGTAATATTAAACAGGATGCGGTGTGACAATGTGATATGCCCATGAAATTAAATGCTCTATAGGGTTTTCTTTTTTGCTGATTCTTATAACTATTCCCTTTCCTCTGCCACCCTGTGTACAGGTGTCTTGAGAAGAAATGGCCACAGCAGCACGTCTGAATATAGCACCACCTGAATGCAACACCTCTTCAAGCACTGCAGGAACTTTCGTTTGGCAGTCAAACACCATCAATATGCACGTCACCAGACCGAAATCTGCCAAGGGACGTACCAGATCAAGCTTGAACTACTCCCATAGTGTGGAGGCCTGTTCTTACAGAGTGCCATCCTCCCCTCAGCCAGCAACTCCCTATGAAGCAGCAAGCAGTCAGAGAGCATCCTCTACAAAGCCATCCTACCAACCAGGCCAGGTGTCATCTGATGAAATCCCAGAGCTCCTCCAGCAGGTGCCTCTGAGGACCTCCTCTTCCCTAAATAAGTACAGAGTGCTTCCTTCCATCAGCAGGAAGGGTCTGGGGAAGAGTACTGTGGAAACAGTGACTGAGCAGACCAACAAACTGAAAATGAGCAACAGACAGGAAGAGAAGCAAGAAACCAAAGCTTGTACTGGAGAAGCAGTATTCACCAGCACAGTGGAGAATGTAGGGGTTAGCTCATGTGCTCAGTCCCTCACATTTGAGAAGCCCCTAAGAAAAACCAGAGAAGAAAGTACTTCATCGCTGGTTTTAAACTTGGAGGAGCCATCCAAGAAAGAGCCTAGACTGCTGCTTGCTGTTAGGTCTCCTTCTGGTCAGAGATTTGAACATCATTTCAAGCCTACAGATAGCCTTCAAACAGTCCTTGCTGTGGCAGAAAAAAAGAATACCACCAAGTACAAACACTGCAGTGTTGAAACTATGGAAGTGCCTAGGAGGAGCTTTTCTGACCTTACAAAGTCCCTGCAAGAGTGTGGAATCCTACACAAGTCAGTGTTGTGTATCCTACAGCAAGAGCAAGATGGAGATCTCTGAGTGTACACCCCCTGTCACCCCAAGCAAGTGACTCCTTGGGTGCCATGTATTTCCTTTTGATGAGTGGTGTGAAGAACTGAACCAGCCTGATGCGTCTTACTGGTCTAGTTCTTACTCCTGTCTTCCAAGCAGTTGCTTTGCAGTAGACTAGTGTGTAAAAGGAGTGTGCTGAAATACACTTTAAAATAATTAAGTAGTATGTACATGCCTCCTTAAGAGGCTGTGTTTTCCATGTGTACAGTCTCATTTTTTGAGAGCTAGTCATCAGTTCTTGGGCTTTTTAATATTTCTAACTGTTGTTTTAAAACAGTTTCAATTCTTCTAGGAAGATCTAAAACTTCTAATGCACTCTTCCTCGGGTGGGAGGCCTGTCTTATCATCTTTACTTCGCTCAAAGAAGGTACCACTTCCCAAAATGGATTCTGATCCCAATTAATACATGTGGTTGGGAAGATAAAAGCAGCACTCCTTTTGTTCCTTACTATTCCATTATCTTCATCATAAAGAAATACCTTATTGGCTTCAAGAGCAGCTACAACCCAGGTAGTGACTCAGAACACTGTGTGAAAGCAATAATACATAAAAAGTATGCGAGAAGAATTAAGTTTTGGGCTGGGTTAAAGTGCAAGGTCAGGGATAAATACAGTCAAGGTTGCAGCTATTCCTGGACAACTTCAGTGCCTCTCACAAGAGCGTGACTGGCTTTGTCCTCTTAAAAAAAGCAAATCCTCCTGGTAAGGAGGCCTGACTGACTGTGCTGGAACCTGGCAGGATGCTGTTATGCTTATTAGTTTTTTGCTTTTTCTAGTGCATGAGGTCCATAATTAAGGGTGGCTCATCTGTGGTAATTTCTATATGCCAGTGCTATTGTTTGTTAACCGATATTGCAGTTTAACATTCTGTTTATATTGAAATGAGCTCACCCGAGCAATTGCTGCTTCAGAGTCTGGCTAAGCGTATGAGCAGAGTTCTGCTGGGGCTGTTAACGTGGTAGACTATCCCTCCTTAATGGGGGCTCTTCCAGAGCGATTCATTTTCTGTTTCAGAAGATCAGCCTGCCAGAGTAGAATGACTTTGGCTTTGTTTGGTATTAATGCATTGTTGTGCGTGTGCTAAAAATTCTCCTCCCATGTTTTCAGTGGTAAAATCTTACTGTTCATGTGCAGTGGCTGTGTTTGAATCCCCTGTGTAATAAAGGAATGGATTAACCTATGTGAATGGACAGCTTGCCAAACAGGCTATTTAGTATTACAGGTTAAGTCTTTTTTTGCCTTCATGTTAAAAAAAAAAAAAAAAAAGGT